GTCTCCTCAGTTGTGGGTACATAATGCAGTCGAAAGGACTTCTCATGAACTTAAGTTTTCTACCCTTTGGGGGCGTCGGCAGAGACGCTTTGACACGGGTTTTGGACGCAGGCACGTCGGGGCGGTTCACGTTGAGACCTGCGCGGTGAGCGGGGGTGGCGGGCTGGGGGTATTATCTTCCCGGCTTTACTTTGGCTCCAGACTTGGTTCGGCCTCAGTGTTTTAAGAGCTGTTAAAAAACATCCCGTTCCTTTTTCCTTTTTAAAATTGCCAGCTGGGCAGAGATGGCCTCTGTGGCTGCAGTGTTTTTGGAGCCAAAAACATTCTTAATTGCACAAAGTCATTGGAAAACGAGGAGATCAATTTTCGGTGCTCACTTTTGAATTTAAACGTCAAAGTCTGATGCAGTTCCAACTCGTAATACCGACATCAATCAGCAGGAATCTAAAAGCGCTCTTCCGCCTGCCGGGATGGCTGAGGTCCGAGGCGCTGCAGAAAGGGCAAGCCTGCCGCGGATCGAGTTGTTGCAGCTGTGTTCTCAGAGGCTGATGCTCAGAGGAGCGCGGCGGCCTCAGAGATCAATGCTCTCTGCGGCGGGGTGCGGGCCCCAAGCCGAGACGGATTTCGTTTCACCGGAGTGCCACCTAGCGGCCACGGCGGGAAACACGCGCTGCTGATCGGGGCTCGACCGGAACCGGGTCCCCCACAGGGCAGGGTGGCAAGGGTCAGGCCTTCTCTTCTCGTGCTCAGACCTCCCCGAGGCTGGACTGGTTCCCCTCAAGCTCTGCGTCCCTGTCTTGTTGGGTTTGGAGGGGGCGAAGAGTGGGGAGAGAACTCTGGACCCCAGGGTCCAGAGGCGCAGGGATGCTGGTGGGGGGACAGCTCGGAAGGAAGGTGAGGATGTCCGGGTGGCAGAGTCCGGTCGTGAACAGCACGAGGACTGAAGGGTGGGTGGGGTGTCTGCAGGTTGCGATGGGACAGGAGGGGAGAGAAAAACAGGGAGGATGGAAAGGCAGAGAAAAATTCCCTGCGGACCTGGGGAGTAGTGCGACAGGCGGGGCGGGGAGGCGGAGACCCCCAGGGACCCGGGGGGGGCCATGAGGACGCACCTGGCGGAGAGCGTGGAAGTGCTGCTAGCTGGCAGAGGTCAGGGGACCCGATCTGTGGAGGTGTTGATCGCCCTGGGGACCTGAATCATTGACCAAAGATGTTTTCTGTTAAAATCATCAATGTTGTATCAAGCAATGTGGTATCAAGTATCAAGCAGAATGGGACTAAACCAGGGAACTAACGATTTTAAGCAAGACCTAAAAATAATTGTAAAATCTTTTAAATTTAGGTTGGGCACCGTGGTAAATGGGCATAATCCCAGGATCCTGGAGGCTGAGGCAGAAGGATCAAAGTTCAAGGGCAGCCTAAGCTCACACAGGGAGTAAAAAAGTAAGAGTTTTGAGGTTAATTTGGATCTTAAAGGTCATGAGCACTGTTCCCTGCTTACCAAGTGGGGCGCCCTTGTGCCAGGGGGGCTCGCTGTAGCTTTTTCCTCTGCCTGGTGAGCGTGTGTGCGTGTGTGTGCGCGCGTGTGTGTGTATGCGTGCGTGCGTGCACACGAGTGTCCCCGTGGGGACGGTGGAGCGGGCCGAGCCCTCTCTTTCTTCCAGATCAGTGCGGGCTGGGTGGATGCGGCAGCCAGCCTTACTGGGCACCAAATCAGACGCGAGCTGGGCAGCAGCCGGCTCTCAGGGATTTTCAGTCTCTGAAGCAGTGTCTGCGGCGCAGTCCCGGGAGACACGGTGCCTGTCACACGGCAGGCACGGCGGAAACAGTTACAGAACCGCACTTGCTACCAAGTGTCCCCAGGGCAGCAACATTTGGCCTCGGCACACTTTGTAATAAAGGAACAAGAAGCTTAACGCGTACTCGTTCCTGTGTGGAAGCTACAGCAAGTTGACTTGGGAGTAGGACAGTGACGACTGGGGTCTCGGCGTGCCGGGGGTGGGGACAGAAAGGCGTCGGGTCTGGTCAGCGCGCGCCGTGCCCATGATGGAAACACCACCCTGAGCTCCACGGATATGCAGAATTAATATGCATTCACTGTTTTTTAAGGAAAGGGACAAAGTCTCGTCTCTGGACGACGCTGTTATCGCTAACTCTATTCTCTTGATGAAACTACGGTTTTTTGCAGTCATCTGAGGATTGACTGTAAAATCCTTGAGTCCTTTGTGTTTTGGGTTTTTTTCCCTATTTTTTTAAACCTTCTAACTTCTAGACATTTGGGCCAAATGGCACGGAAGGTAGCAAAGGGGGACTGTCAATCAGAAAATGTGGGTCTTGGAGAGGGAGTAGGTTTCTATTTACATCAAAGTTGTGGTCTCCAAACTGCCTTTGAGGGATGGTACCTGTGCAGGGCCCAGTGGAAACTGTCAACGTACGGCCCCTTTTTCAAAACTTACTAAGCATCTCAAGACAGCAAGAGCACTAAGGAAAGCGTGGGGCCTTTGCCCCCGCCCAGGCAGGTGTCCGGGAGGCCCCCTCGTGCTGCCCCTGCCGAGGATTCCCTGATAGCAGTGACGCAGATCTGCGCTGAAGTCATCGATCTGAAAGTTTCCACTCCAGACTCCGGGGCTGCCTTACGAGTGTGGCCAATATCAGTTATGTAAGTCAAGATTAGGCAGGCATGCATATGCCACAAAATGGTTAAGTTCACGTCTTTGAAACGGTATATTTTAAACACCCTTTATTTCAAGAAATATTGCTTCTCGACTTTCCTGAAGCCAGAATTGTTCTATAAAAGTATCACAGAGTATTATACAGGATTAAAAACACAGTATACTTCCTAGTATCTTGAAATCTTTTTACAAAGCACATCATTCATGACCATAAATATGTTTATTCTGTCATTCGGCTGATGACACACACAGCTGATAAACGCTAATTTTAACATATGTACACAGTCTATGATAAAGACTGAATGTAACCAAAGATACAACTATAACATATTAAATTTTCTTTAAAAGAGTTGATCTTAAACAGTTAATGAAAACATAACTTATCTAAATGTTTGAGTTTCTAAAAATAAAAAGAAAACCACTGTTAAGTGAAACAGAGCAATCTTCTCGAGCAATTGTATGGGGTACTGATGATTTTCATTGAGGTAATCCTTTTGCTGGTGTTTAAAAATCTAATACAAAACAAGAATATTGGCAAGAATACAGATTTTAACAGCAATTCTGAACTATGTCTTTAAAGATTCAGAACTTGGAGAAGGTCCTAAAATAGCCATTCAACAAATGTTACAAAATCAATCTCCCTCATGATGTGTTTAAATTACCGAACATTCACGATTGTGGTTAATTGAAAAAGTTCCTTATATAAATTTAAAACTACATAGATTTTCTCAACACTTAAGCTTATTAATCAGGCCAAGAAAACAAAATCATGGTGAAAGCACAGAGTCTTTTAGTCCTTTTTCTTCTGTCACGGAAATAATTAAAATTCTGCAATCTGAAGCATAGGTGAACAACTTGAGGCTAGGCACAGAGAGAGCAGGCGACTTTTGTCATTTGTTTGCTTTTTTATTTATTTTTACCACCAACATTATTAGCCATGCCTTTCTGCTAATCAATCTTAGCAAGTCAGGATACAACACATGTACCGTGTTCTGGCAGAAGCGTGTGCTCAACAATATGCGACCCGCACTGTGTGTCGTCCTCGGGGCCCGTCTTACTTTGCCACACTGAGAGCACTGAACCAGAAATGATGACACTGAAAAATTCCAGTGGTCAAAAATAAAGCAGAACTTCATTCTGCAGGCAGTGAAAGTGTGCTGACAGATTCACCAAGGAGATCAAGTTTCAGAGACGAAGAAAGGCACAATTCTAGCCACTGGGACTGGATAACAGTTATACACGCATGCCCCTACAACGCTCCAAAGATTAATACTGTTTTGGCTCCAAACACAGAACAGAAAAAAACCCCAACTGTTCTTTCCTTTTATTTATTTTTTTGGGGGGTATTTTTTTTTCCGGTACCAGGAACCGAACTCACGACCTTGCGCTTGCCAGGCAGGCGCTGTGCCGCTGAGCTAAATCCCCAGCCCCCCCAGCTGTTCTTTCTACTCTTGGCAAACAGTGGATTACAAGGATGCGTTGCCGGGAGCACACCGCTTGCTCACATGCACGCTAAATTCTGCATGAATGGACCCAGGGTAGCTTGGGATGCTGGTAGCTAGGATTGCTGTTATTCGTTTGCTAACAAAAAGTTAAAAAGAAATCCTGGTTTAGGATAAGGTAACAACTTCATCTAATCAGAGGAGAGTGGAGGAGGCACTGCCTTCCGCATGCCCCGAGCGCTCCTTGGGTTGTTCTCTACCTTGGCCGACATCCTCTCCACTCGGCTGGAATGCGTGTGCCCAGCACCTGATGAAGGAAGCGTCCATCAGAATGCACGGGCCCACACAGCTGATCTGCAGAAACACCCCCTCCAGGACCACCAGCCCGGGAGGCTCCTCCTGATGGCGGCCGCCGGGCTGCGGCCTAGCGCGGGGCTGGAGCTCCAGCTCCGTCAGGCCACTGCCGCCGAAGCTGCTTCCAGCGCGGTCGATCTCCGCACGCCCCTCAGGTTTCAGCTTCACCATATCTCCAGTGTTCAGAATTCAGATGATTCACTTCTGGAATGTCACTGTCCCGTTCAAGTGTACTCTCTGGACTTAACGTTGGTCGGTTCAAAGGAAGGGATCGAAGGTCAGCGGGCAAGGTCAAATGAAGAGCGTCCCTGCCCGCTGGACCTGGGTCTCCTCTGACTCCGCAGAGGGCGTGTCCACCCGCACGGGGTGCTCGGCGGAGGTGACCAGGGACCCATCACTTTGAGCAGGTTCAGTCCGACTTGCTTGCTTTTGCTCAGAGTGTTCAGCAGTGCAAATACTGTATCCACATCCTTCAAGTAACGAGTCCAGTCAGCAGACTAAGTCCATGGTTGTGCCTGTACTTAGGGCCGCTTCCGTTCACGCTAACTGCCAGGCCTTGCCGGTTGGTGTCTGCAGCGCGTCTGGACAGATTAGCCTTCCCATCCATCCCATAGCTGCCCTCTGTGAGGAGAGAGGCGAGGGGCACATTAGTGCAAAAACATTTCTCACCTAACTGAGCAAGCAACTTCCGCTACTTCTACAGAGCAAATCAACTCAAGCTATCGCACTAAAGTGTTTCTGCCCAGTAATCTGTTATCAAGGAGTGACCCTGGAATACAAGGGTGATGGAATGACAATAAAAATTTTTTTAAAAAGTCATACAAGTGAAAACTTCTATGTGTCAGCACATCCGGTATCGGAAATGGTTCCGTCCCACCTACCCAGGGAGTTAGGGTTCAGTCCTGTCACTCAGTAATTAGGAGAGCATGAGAGTGCGCCTTGGACCTCATCTGTCAAGTGCGGGAATAGATGTGACAAAACCATTATTACTTATGTGCAAGCACCGCATCGTTTCACTAGTGTAAACCTTGAAAGAGTTAATTTAAACTCGGAGGTATGATAGACACTGTGAAATGATAGGAAACCGCTGAAGAGTAAAGGGCAACTGGGATGTGGGAAAAGAGAGGGGAAAGAAGGAGAAATTTTGTATGTATGTATATACAGGATAGTTAACATGGTTGTTCTTCTGTCTTCTATTTCTATGCTGAAAGAAACTGTTAATGAGTCTTTGGTTGACCAATATTGCATGTCTATATCTGTTTTCATGAGAAGCCACTTTGAACATATCAATATGTAATACAACCACCATTGTTAATTCCTACCACTTTGTTTGTAACTCTGTATTGTCTGTATTGTGCTTGTGATATGTTGTAAAATGTTGTATATCTGTTAATGTTTCCCTCCTTTTATCTTTAAAAAACAAAACAAAACAAAAAAACCATTACTACTTGTAGGCTTGCTGGGTATTCGATGGATTCCAAAGTATTTGAGTGTAACTGGCAATGCTTAGTGTAATATTTAATCTTCATTATATATTTTCTGGCACTCAGCATAAAAACAAATTTGAATGCAGGTATGTGCCTCAAATGCTTAGATGTTTTTGTCCTAGTTCTAAACTCTAGAGAAATCCATGCCCACAGTGAATCAACATTGGAGTAGTTTTCACATGTGCAAAGAACACACAGCTTTCTCTGCCTCGGATCTGCGCCCATCACCAGAATGACTACAGCCTTGAAGAAAATAAGACTTCTCGTGTGCCCAAGGACCTTTCAGAAAGAGGTGAATCACAGTAGGTGATGAACCCCCCACAGAGCGGTACAGAGCAGCCAGGGTAACTAGTGAAACTGTGCAAGATCCACACCTTCTGTGTAATTAGAAGAGAGAACCCTACAACTTTCAGATCACCTGTAAATACAAGCAAAGGGAACAGCAAATCCCAGCAAGGGCACACACCACACTGTGGACAGAGGCCCTGGGAAAACAGTATGACAAAGAGAAAGGAGGAAGGAACCGAAGACTGCTTTAAAGCCTTCGCTGGAAAGGAGAGCTCAAGTATAACGCCCTGACCGGCCGCTGGTGTCACTGCGCTGACAGTGACGGGAAGCTGGAGGGTGGGGGATGCAGGTGGCTGGCTTGGCAGGACATCGCTTCAGGAGAAAGGGACATGAAGTAGGGGAGGGGGGCCTTGGGAAACTGGGTGGTAAGCAGAAGGCAAAAGGGAAGGTATCTGAGGGGGGAGAAATGGGAGGGCTCCTGACTTCACCTCTTCCACTCAAACAGTAACAAAATCGTAAAGAGAAACTCTACTATGTTATGGAACAGACCTCTTTGACTAGAGGTCTTTTAAGTACGCCGACCCACGGAACGAAAGCTGCTTCCGTCTACAGAAAATAACTCTGAGAAAACAGAAAACAAGAACTTTTCTTAAAAATCTATCTCATAAAAATTTCCCTGCCAAAATAAACCATAAAGTAAAGAAAACCACAACGCACCAGCACTAAGTAAAGTAGATGTAATTAATCAAACATCAGAGGACGCGAGAGCTGTCTCAGGTCAGAAGCTAAAGGTCAAATGAAGAGACACAGAAGGTCAAATATCGCACGGTTTCTCTTTTACACAAAACCCGAAATATAAATAACTGAAAGAGCAAAATAAGAAAGAGATGGTGGGAGACAGGAGGCAGACTCTGGCGATGGAAGGGGATCTAGGGAGTGTGTAGGGGGTAAAAACGCTTAGGATGAGAGACATACACACACCCAGCCCTCAGGATGGACATGCTATGTGTTGCAAACATTCGCCAGGAGTTAAAGCATTATTATATATTGAGCAGTTAAAGAAGAAGTTAAAGTATCTACCCAGACTCTTCCATCCAGCAAAGCTCTCCCTGACATATCAAAGAGACAGGAAAACAGTGAGACACATGCCGGATGTGGGGAATACCGCATGTTAGCTTTTCGTGAGCAATTCTCTAGAGGACGAGTTTTGGTCTATGAAGGAATCACTGGGGGAAAGCCAGCAAAAGGCTTCATGGTGAGCGTTTGATCTAGGAGTAAAATGTAGGGGAAGCTTGTGAAAATATTGTGTGCATTATGTAGGACAAGGAAGAAATAATGCAACTAAAGTGGAAGGAGAAATAGAAGAGATAGACGAGAATAAGGCCCCTAAGTATGGTGCTGTCAGAAACTGGTCGGTGAGAAAATGCAGTTAAATGAAAAAACAGGGACTGGAGGCATTAAAGAGGCTTAAATCCCACGGCTGGACCAAGATAAACCCGGAAGGAAACCAAAGGGAACCCCGAAGGAAAAAGAGAGAGCAAGTATCTTTATAAAGAGTAAATGGCTGGCGGTGGTGGCGCAGGCCTGTAATCCCAGCACGTGGGAGGCTGAGGCAGGAGGATCGCTGTGAGTTCAAGGCCAGCCTGGGCTGCATAGTGAGACCTTGTCTCAAAACACCAAAAAATAAATGAATAAATGGTAGAATATGAAAAAAGAAACACAAGTGACAACCCCTCCAAGACACAGCAAATGGACTGAAATAAACACTATCATTGGAACCACCTTCCAGCGGGCCTTCGGGGCGCTCCCTCACGGTGGCTGTGTACGACCATGAAATGAGTGGACGGGGTGTGGGCTGCGCAGCGCTGGGACGGCCGGATTACACCCGCACCTCTTGCACCTCCCAGCACGGAAAGCCAAGGACCGTCTGCCATGGAGAGAACCAGACTGCGGCCCTACGGGGCTCATTTCCCGGGGCCCGGCCTCCTTCCCGGCTGGCCATTGGGCTACGCTGCACCCCCAGGGCTCTAAGGGGCCCTGCAGGGACCGCCCCCTGCACTGCGCTCCACCTGCCCAGTGGTGGGTGCAAAGCTTCAAATACTGTGGAAGGGTCCCAACAGAGGTGACGAACAACCTGACTCCAGAGTTACGTTCTGCAGGGGAAGGACACGTTCTGCGGCCGCCACAGCGCGCAACCGCGGGCAGAGATGGCGCGTTAAATAGACGCAGCACGCCGCTGGCACCCTTCAGTGGAGAAGTGGGCTGGAGGTGAAAACATCTGCGGTCCCCAGTGGGGACAGAAGGTAGGCCTGGTAAGGGCGCGTTTCCCTGTGCTCTGGGTGTGGGCAGCAGCCGGCCGGGAGGATGGATGCAGCTGTCTTCTCACACAACTGAGCTATAACTGCTCAGATCACTGCTCCGCAAAACAGCTCCTTTTGCTGTAGGCAGCGAAGTCAGATAAAATACTACAGGCAGTCAGGCTGCGGCCCCCGAGCCAGTGGAAGAGGAGATGCCTTGCAGCTGGGGTGGCGGGCCAGACCTCAAGACAAAGGGTAAAACAAATGCACCCGCACACTTCCTAAGGGTAAACGTCAGGGACTGATATTCTAAATAGGCCTCTATCACCTTGAGGAAGCCAGGAAGAGCCTCTAACCCAAGCCCTACAGGAAAGGCCCCTGTTCTGTGTTCATGTCAGCTTGCTACGTGACTTGCTTCCCTATTTGATCCCAATTGAATCAATTTTGCCTGAGCAATTATACTCATAATCTTATTGGTTGACCACAGTTTTGCCCCACCTCATGCCCACCTTGCCACTTCCCATGTTTCCCACCTTGGGCCCATCTCACCTCATGGATTTGCTCTGCACAAATCCCTAGGAAAGGCAGGTTCCTGGTAATCCATTTGGGACCCCTTCTGTCTCTCTCTTAGAAGCTTTCTTTCCCCCAATACATATATTGTGCTGTTAACCTCCGTTGTTCTTAAAATTCATTCTTTGATTTTAGAGAATATGAACTCACACCAGGTATCGCAGGTTGGGAGTTTCTTTCCCCTGCATCACTTTGGAATTGACCCAATAAAGATAGAAATCTTAAACAGAATAATTTTCATGGCAGAGACAGGGGAATGGAGTTTACTTAAAAACTACAAAGAAACACCAGGTGTCATGGGAGAATTGTAGCAAACCTCCAGAATCCTGATGTTGTAAAACTATTCTAGAACATAGAAAATCAAGGAAAACTTCCAAACTTTTATGAAGCAACTATATCATTGATAGGTAGAAGGCATAATTATGGATCGTTTTACCCACAGAGACACACTTGTCCAAATCCCAGAAGCAAAAGACTACCGGGCAAAAGACTTTGCGGGTGTGACAAAGTTAGGGATTTTCTTTTTTTGAGTCTGAGACTTGTTTCAAACCTGTGACCCTCCTGCCTCAGCCTCCCAAGTACTCAGATTGTCGGCATTCCCTGGCAAATTATAGATCTTACAACGGGGGTATTAACTGGGAGTCCAGATAATCACATGGGTCCTTACAAAGGGAAGGAAAAGCAGAGGATTTGGAGGAGGAGATGGGACCCGAGAAAGCATAGGAGCGGGATTGGGTGGGGGACAGAGGAGAGAGAGAGAAAGATAGATAAGAAGATTAGCTATACTGCTGGCCTCAAAGATTGGGGAAGGGACCCCGAATAAGGAATGCGGGCAGCCAGCAAAGAAAAGATTCCCCTGGAGCTCTCGAAGGGACACAGAGCTGCTGACACCTTGATTTGTGCCCAGCGAGACCCATTTCAGACCTCTGACCTCTAGAAATAGGAGACTAAATGTGTGTTGTTTTGAGGCACAGCGGTAGTTGTTACAGCAGCAAGAAACTAATACAACACCTAAAAGATCTTAGCACAAACTAAAGAAAACCAACAAGCACAAACAAAAAGAAAACCAGAGGCTGACAGAACTCAAATACAGCACAGGAACTTCAATATTAGGAAAATAGTACATGATGAACTAGAGGAATTCGTTCTAGGAATGAAAGGTTGATTTGCTTTTCACACATCTATTAATACAATGTACCATATTTATAAATTAAACAGAAAATATGTTATATCTTCATAGATACTGAAAAAAATCTTTGACTTATTGATGATAAAAACACCAAAACAGTTGATGGCTACTTCTTTAACATGATAGACGTGCATATAATTTAGTTCTAAAGGCTGCCTCTCACTGTGGAAATCCTAAAAGCATTCTCATGCAGATCAGGATGGAGGTAATGTTATGCTGGAAGTACGGGTTCACTCAGTTAGTTGTATCTCTCTCTCCCCTGTCAGGAGTGAATGTTGGTCAATGTGCGCATTTTAGCGCTAGGCACCAGAAGGATCACAAACATACCCCGCTACACTTCAAACCCAGACCTGGGGGTTCAAATGCCAGTCTGTCTAACAGGAAGTGGTATCCTTTGGAGAAACGGCTGATTCCAGATGTAAGGTGAACCCAGGACACTGCACTAGACTAGAAAGTAGCTAAGTGCTTGGGAACAACTAGAGCACTCCAAACATACCCCAGGCCTCTCGAACGGACACTGGCAGTCAAACCTGAGCATTTTGATCATTAAAATATGTAGTGACAGCAAAAGAATATCCATGCAGTAAAGTGAGGGCTGTGATTCCACACTGACATAAGTAACGAACAGGTTGCAAAGGCAGTCACTTCCTCAAGGTAGAATATGACAAGAAGCGTAGGAGGAAACTACAGTTGGAAAAATCACCACCCACAGCCATCATGTTAGCAATGAATGATTTAGGTTAGAATTGTGAATGACTTACTAATCACAAAATGAGAAATAGTAGTTTATAGTGGATTAATCTGGCAAACAACACTTTACCCAAGTAATCAAAGATCACATCACCAAAGAAGAGCAGGCAGCTCTTGATGAGCTGTCCTGAAGTACGAGGTTGCTTTTGTGGTATTCCTGCCAAAAACAAACCACTGTAGCCCAGTCAGGCAGTAACATCAGACAAATCCCAAACCGAGGGACACTTTACAAGATAATTGGCCCACACTCTCAAAATTTCATGACCCACAACAGAAAGTTAAGGAACTGTTCCAGAAGGAATGAAATTGAAAAGAACTTAAAAATTTGCTGTAATGTATAAATCTGGATTAGATCCCAGATCAGAAAATAATGAAAAAAAAAAGTAAGTACAACATTACTGGATAATTGGTGAAATTTGAATGTGGACTGTGGATTAGATAATTACATTGTATCAGTGTTGAATTGTCTGATTTGGGTAAATGTACAAAAGTTATGCAAGAAAATGTTCTTAGGAAATATAAGCATTTCTGTGTAAAAGGATCTAATGCTTGGAAATTACTCAAGACTGATTTTATTTATTTATTTATTTATTTTTGAGACAGGGTCTCACTATGCAGTTCAGGCTGGCCTTGAGCTCACTTTGTAGCCCAGGCTGGTCTCAAACTCGCAACAAGGATCCTCCTGCCTCAGCCTCCCGAGTGCTGGGATTACAAGCATGGGCTACTGTGCCCGGCCCCAAACTGATTTTAAAAAAAGGAAAAGTGTGTGAATATATGGGGGTGGGGATGAGGAGGATGAAACAAAGCATGAACTTCTCAAAACTATTCATGTCAAGTTTTAAGTAAATCTCACCCAACCCCGGACACAGAAAGGCTGTGAAATCACCAAGAGAAATTCAGAAACATGTCCAGGTGTCAAGCTGTCTCAGTTCTCTGGATGACAGCAATCCCACCACCTCCTGGGGCTCACTACATGCTGTGCGCTCTGAGCTTGCTCACCAGCCAGGATGGGATTTCAACCCAAGGCAGCCCGGCTGGGCACCCATGCTTGAAACCACAGCACGGTGGGTCACCCACAGCCGTCTTTAGCACACACTGCTGATCTGGGGCGGGGATGAATGAAAAGAAGCCAAAGCCCTGTGGACAGAGCCTGGTCCCTGAGGGTGGACGAAGGCGGTGACCTGCCAGCCGGGAGGACTTGGTGCAGGGGGTCAGGAAGCAGATCTGCCAGAGCGGGGCGGTGGAGAACTGACCACCGTCCCTCAGCAGCGGCTGCCCACAGCCATAGCTGCCCCAACTCTTCTTGAACATCAAAAGACAGCAGCAGGCGTGGTTGCTGCTTTCATTGGGAAAAGTACACAGCCCGCCAACTGGGTGACCTGACATTGTTTGTAGTGCTGCTTTCACCACAAGCCAAAGATGGCTTCCTCAGTCGTGGGGTCTCTTCCTGAGAGACTGGAAAAGTCTGCGACTGGGAAAAGCCTTCAGGCTGCTCCTGCTTTGAGCACGGACAGCGAATGAAGTGGGGTGGGGAGGTGCGCAGGAAACAGGTTTGCTTTTCTGAAGACTCCCTGGAAGTCTGAAGATTCATTTTTGAAAATCCACAAAAAAGGCAGTTAAAAAACCCTTATTTCCTCCCTTTTGTACAACAGAAATTTTCTAAACTCCCCTGTTAGGATTCTTGCCTGGTGTGGCGGTGCATGTGTGCGATCCCAGCACTCAGGAGGCCAAGGCAGGAGCGTTATGAGTTTGAGGCCAGCCTGGGCTACATAGTGAGTTCAAGGTTGGACTAGATAACAAGACCCTGGGCAATGCACCCCTCCCATAAACTACCCTGTTGAATTTTCCAATTTCAACTCTGCTTGTTATCATTTCTCTCAAGGTCTTCTGTCATCAAATTTTATGATTAAAAATATATTTTAATTAGTTTTCTAAAACTGGCCAAGTCTTCTGCATGCACGGAGGCCAGGCCACCAGTGGGGGACGGTGTACGGGCAACACTGCCCCTCCCCGCCGGGCAGCAGGTCGCCAGCACTTCCTGGCTCCCGGGCTTTGCTCTGCACCTGGTCCCGTTCAACCCAACAAGAGACAGCAGGCAAGGCCACCGCCCACACTGCCTGTGGGTCCCGGGCGTCAGTCCCCCGTGTGAGGAGGCGGATGTCCTTGTGGGGATCCCACGCCAAGATGCCCGGCCTGCAGCAGGGGCGTCCACCACGAGGCAGCTTACAGATTATGAAATGACGGCGTCTGAAAGCGCCAGGTATTCTGAGTTACAAAGTGTCTGTAATTTGCCCTTGGGAAGGAGGAAAGGAGGAGAAAGGGGAAGAATAGAGAGGGAAGAGAGAAGGGGAGAAAGGAAGCAGGGAGAGGAACAGGAAGAGGAGGAGGAGGAAGAGGAGGAGGAAGGGGAAGAAAAGCAGCAGGTAACATCGCGTCACCCCTGCACACAGGCTGCCGCAGCTGCAGTCGCCAGGGCCGTGTCTGGCTATGCGGTCACTGAGCAGTGGGAGTGGGGATCAGCAAGGGCAGCACCCACATCCTTCGCCTCAAAGCCGTCCAGGGAGGGCGGCGTGGGAAGCCACCGAGTCAGCTCCGCCCAGGCGTGGGTCTTAAGCAGCTGGCGAACACCCTGGACCTCTCTCATGCCAGAAAAGAAGGGACGCGAGGCTGAAAACCCCTCGACCGGAAAACGGAGTGCGTCACAACATAACTGTAAGACAGGTCCACTTACAAGGTCACGCTTCAGACAGGGAAGCAGGGGAAATAGCCCTGGGGTGACGGGTGTTGCCTCCTCAGCCACAGCCCTGGGAGACCGGCAGGGCGGGTTCTTTTGGGGTCTCACCTACTTGAGCTGAGGTGACATGGGGTTGCCATGGAGCAAGGAGGAAAGATCAGAGAGAAGAGATATCTAAGTGGCTCTAAAATGCCTTCAGGAGCCCAGCTTTGTTTTGTCCCCGTCCGCCCACCGCCTTTCCTACTGTCATTTAGCTTCTTTCTTGTGGTAATGACGAGGCACTGAGGAGCTGTCCGAGATGCTCCGGAGGCTGGAGGGGAGGCGGTGGGGAGGACAGGGCCCCTGCATGGCGAGCTTCTCTAACTTCTCTGAGAAGATATCAGTAATGATGGCACTGATTATGCCCAGGTTTCTCTGATGGAAACTCTTCTCCCAAGTGGATTCACGAACTAGATTGCTGACACGTCTGTGCCTCAGTCTGTGCCTTGGTGCGCCTCCGCAGAAGGGGAAACGGCAGTCCCCATCAGCCTCCTATGTCAGTTTCTGAGAGGCCTCTAAATAGCTCCGCTTGGAGCAGAAAATCAGCAACAGCTGGCAGGCTGGCATTTCTGAGTGACTACGGGACAAGCCGCCCGGAGTCCGGCCCCCTCCAGGGCGCAGTGAGACGGGAGGATGGGTGTGCTCGCAGGGGGATAAGATGTCAGGGCTGAGCGCCGATAGGAAGTTTCCGGGCGGCACTGCCGTCTCAGTGCTACGTTGGTCCCTTCCTGTGAGTCTTGATCCCAGACCCTGTCCCTAACCCCAGCACCTTCCCGTACCTGCGGAGCCTCCTGAATGACCATTGTCTTTTCCCACCCTAATTGGCTGATGACCATTAACAAGGAAATTCCCTTTGTTTCCTTCTCTTGTCGATGTTACATGTAATAAAAGTCTCTAGCTCATGTCCGTGCAGCTTCCCCACCAAATCAGTGTGTAAGCAATCAAGGAAACAGTCAAGCCGCACCCTGTCCCCGGGCTCCCACGCTACTCTGTGTCTTCCCTCTCACATCGCTCCCTGCGTTACTCCATCAGCCAACAAGCAGACACGCGTGGGAGGGGGAAAGGCCCAGGAGGCATCTGGCCGAGACAGAGCACCGAGTTACAGCAAAACAGCAGATCGGTACCCAGTGACCGAATACAGAGGAGAACGCGGCTAGAACAAACGTGCTGCGTGCAATGTAGTAAGAAACAGAAACGAGCTAGAACGACGGGATCATGCAATGAGTGCAAAGGCGCTGAGAACGGAAAGGTGAGTACCTGTGCAGGTCGTAGCTTCCTCCATCTTTATTTCCTGCTGGAGGAAAACACAAGAGTCATTCACGGGAGCTTTAGAACCTGTGAAACCACTCTCCGTGCAGTTTTCCACACACAACACCTAAACTCTAGAAAGAAACATGCTGTGCTAGACACAGACAGCGCTCAAATTGGACAGAGATTTTTCTATCAGAGAGTTGACTGGGGATTGACGGCTATAAAAAAAAAGGCTGAAGATGAAAAAATCTGTAAGTGTTCCCATGAAACAGTGGGTGGGCATAGGAAGGAGGAGAGTTCCCTTAAAAGCAGTGAGAAAAGTACTTCCCCAAGTCCGCGCAATTCTCAGTAAAAGTTGATTGTCTGTTATTTTTAGACAAACTCTTGAAAAGTGGGCCCCTACTAATTTCCCTTAAGAATAGTCGAAGAGGTGGAGGGGCAACTTGATGACCAGCAGATTGACGGGCTCCCGCGGGGCTGTCGTTTCCCCACAGAAGACGCTATCAGATTTCGGGAAATGGAGCGGTTCTGTCATCTCCAACGCATGACGGGTGCCTTGTTCCTCTGGGAAGAGATCTGGGTGTAACATTTCTAGGGCCCCCAAGATTTGGTTTAGATTCCAGGCTTTGTGGGCTGTTCCTTCCTTCCTTTCTTTTTTCCTTCTGTAAGATTTCAGGAAAAGGTCACTAGGTCAGCAGGATATTCAGAAAGACGTGAGGTGAGCAGGGTCAGTGAGTCTTGGCTGGCAACTAATTTCCACCCAGTGTTAACTGGAAAGTGTTGGCTGAGAACTGAGATGGGACTTCTCTCACTGGACTTTTATTTTCTCAGAGGATGTCCATAACTTGGAAGTCTAGGATCCTGTTGTGGTGGGAAGGACCAGCAAGGATGCTGAGCGTTTTGGAAAGGAAGCCACTTTCTCTGTTCATGTGACATGACCCAGCAAGCTGCCCACTTGAGGGAATGCTGGCTCTGCAGGGGACCCACAGATGCAGGTTAAACTTGACTGCATGAAAAGAGCTCCCAGGGCCCCTTGAGTCCAGGTCTTCACCCTTTGAGGGTCTACTTGTTGTGCCAATTGGTTCCCTTGCTAACCTCAGGACTCCTCCTTTCTATGGGACAGCGGCTATTTACACTTCTGCAGAAACAGTGAGAAGAAAAGTCTTCTCGTTAACCAGGAAGAAGATGGAGCCAACCCTGAGAAGAACCACATCTTCATGAGTGAAAGCGCAAATCAGCAGAACATCTGGCTGGTTCCACACAGACCCTCTGATGCTTTCAGGTCTTGAGTTAATGAACTGCTCCAGTACCTCTATTTTCAGATGGGAACCACTGGCAAGAGAGATCGAATTCACTGTGCTGTAGACAGGGATCCAACTGGGGGTGGTCCAAAGGGTGACAGCAGAAACAGGGCACCGTGTGCTTCCATCCAAGCTCACCCAGTAAAAGAGGACCTTTGGTTTAATTAGAGTAGATCGTATGACTGTTGACAGCAATAAGAAGGAAATCCCCGAATCTTTCATCTCATCCTCCAAGAGATGCTTCAGTTGGGAATCGGGGTTTGCTAATAATACAACTGACCTGTGGGACAGACTGCAAGGAAACGCATAGCTGATCTTCTGATGGATTAGGTTTTTCACTAGTGCACCCAGAACTAAACTTAGAGATCAAATTATGTTTGCAATTGCTGGCAAAGTTTCCCCTGGAAGGATCCCAAACTATATGTTTCTCTGCCTATACACATTTCAAAGGTAAAAGGCACGGTAATACAAAGAATTTTCCAGGTAACATGGACAGAAATTCCTTTTTTCTTACCAGCTTCCAGGCCCTTCGGTCTTGGGTTGCACTGTTTATACCCCTGGCAGCTCCTGAGCTCCATCAGCTGTATGTGCAGCTGATTCAGAATGCCCCGTTCTACCGTGTGCACTGCATTTGTGAGCTGCAGACGAAGAGACAGGAAAGCGACTTAAACTCACGTTCTGCTTATGCTGTTTCCAACCACCTTCACAGAATGAAACTACTGTCTTACCTGATAAGGATCTGTGTTCATATCAAAATACTCCAAAAAGCCAGTCGCAAACTCGCAGAAAAGAAAATTATGCGTCTCATTAACTGTGCGCAAACACCAGTAGGTGTTATTGTTAGAACTTGTGCAAGCACAGAATGATCCCACTGTCGGGTGAGAAAGAAAACAACACAAGCACAATGAAAAACTCTCACCATCGCCTTATATTTATACTTTAAGCTTCAGGTATTCTTTCTTATAAATACTATGCTTAGGTGTTAAAGGTATTTCCCCCTCTCTCAATATAAATTTGCTCTGAAACTAGGTGAAAATGGACAATTGATGGTGAGTTCACAAATGTTGACGCCCAAGATGAGTTTTCAGCCCGTTAGGCTTGAACCAGGTTGGTGGGTCCGGGGGCTATCACTGGTAGTGATTCTAGGCTCCCTGTATTTTGTTTGACATATGATCCGTTTCAACCATGAAGGTCTTTTATGTCATGAAGATGTTCTCTAGTTAACTTGTAGAGTATTTAAGACAGGTGTCAAATTTAAAAACAAATCACTCACTCTTGTATTTGCAAAAGGGCAAAGGTCCCACATTTGCTGATCTTTCCTGTAATAAATGAATTTTAGAACTGTACTAGCAAATATTTTTTAAAAGCAATTAGGATAGACATACTTGGTGAGTATTTTTGTACACTCCATGGTTTGCCTTTACAGCTTGTTTAATCCTCAAATAACGTTGTGAGACAGATTATTATCAACATCCCCACTTTTTAGATTGGAAAACTGAGGTGCACAGAGGTCAAGTCATTTGTCCAAGGTCAAGCAATTGATAATTGCCAGCCTGGTTATCTGGAAAGAAGGTTTACCCTTAGCCACTAGACTCTACTAGCTGTATGCAGTATTATTATTATTTTTTTTTCTGGTACCGGGAATCAAACTCATGACCTCACGCTTGCCAGGCAGGTGCTGTGCCACTGAGCTACATCCCCAGTCCCCTGGAGATTATTAAACATGATGCTCAAGTCTCTTCTATAAAATGACACAGTATTGCATATTACCCCCACATAGCCTCCTATGTACTTTAAATCATCACCAGGGTCTTTCTAACACCCGATTCAACGTAGGTGCTGTGTAAATAGTTGTTACATGGTTTGTTTTAGGAAATATGAGAAAAGATTTGTACGTGTACAGTTTATTTGTGCAGATAAAAAATTTTCCAGAGTATTTTCTATGTGTGGTTAGCCGACTGCATAGAAGCAAAACCCATGGTCAGGGAGGGCTGACGAGGTAGGAGGCGACTGACACAGTCTGAGGCACAGGAAAGGTGTGTGTGAGCAGGGACCCTAGACTAAGCTCTGCAGGGTCTGTAGGTGTTTGCGAGGCCCGGGCCTGTGCGTAGGCAGAGAGCTGAGGGAACGCTTGGAAGGGGAAGCCACATATGTGACGGCCCTGTGGCACGAGAGGCTTAGAATGGGACGAAACAGAAGCGCTGGAAGGAGGCAAGAGGAAGAGGGGGACACTGTTCCAGAGTGAGCCTGGACTGTAGCACCCAGGGCTTTCCTGGATATGCTAAGGATTTTGCTTTTTAGGGAAAAACACGATGTCTTTAAGAGGTTACTCTAACTGCAGAACGGATGGGTGAGAACAAAGAGGAGCCTGGGAGACCACACAGGTGCTTTGGCGGTGGCCGAGGTACGAAACGGTGGCGACATGGGCAGGGTGGCCTCAGCCCAGATGGGGACACAGACGGACGTGTAATCAGCTCCCCTGGCACGAGTAGATGACACCTTCCTGTTCTGAGGCATCGTCTTTCAAAACACTTTCCAGTCCCGGGCACACCTAATGTGCTACTTCCTCAGGACTTGCTCAGCTGCTCCCTCCACGGGGGTACCACTGTTCCCTCCCACACGAGGGCTTTTCTGCATCCCTTAGAGTTCAGTTTAAATTTCCCCTCTGCTGAGGCCTGTTACTACTGGATCTGGGATGTCCAAAGACCCGTGTGTTAAAGGTTGATCCTCAGGGTGACACTCTCAGGAGGTGGGCTTTGTGGGGAGATGTTTGGGGCCCACCCTTCCTTCCTCTTCCTGTGCTGCCCTGCTCTGTGATCTGGGCAGCTTCCTCTCCCTCACACTCCCACCATGACACGCCACCTCACCCCAGGCCCCAAAACAACAAGGCCAGCTGACTATGGCTACAGCTGAAACCTTCAAAACTGCGAGCAGAGAAAACCTTTTCTCTTTTTCATTTATCTTAGTTATTTTGTTATAGTAACAGAAAGCTGATTAAAACCCAGTGTCCCCACCCTGTCTAAAAGGACCCCTTTAAAAACTTTGATCAGTATTTCCTTCATTGCATGACTACAACTTGTGATTATTTTATGTATGTCCTTCACCTTTTTTTACCCTCCCCCACTAGAATGTAGGGGTGAGGGCAGAAGGGATCAAGATGGCTTTCTCACTATCAGGTCCCCACTACTCAGCCCAGAGCCCGGCAGAGTGTAGACCCCCAGCAATCTGGCCCTCTAAGACCTCCATCTCCACTGCAGAAGCTATCACCAAAGTTAAATGCTGCAACTTTAAGAGTCTGTTGGCTTTCATGTGTTGTGGACACACATCAAAAGCAGCAAAATAGAAATTCCCCTCGGTGGGTCCTCAATCCCCGCCGAGAATGCTCTGTGCATTCCTCGAAGTTCCAAGTCCCCGTTGGAGAAACTCTGGCTGTGTGGTCCCCAGTGGCCCTCTCAGTCGGAAGGCAGAGGGCACAGCCACGGGCTGGCGAGCCTGCAACCTGACAGCCACAGGAATCCACAGCATTACTCCTATCCATCTGTGGGGAGACAGTGCATAGAACACGAAAAGAAACAGCACTAATTTTCCAAGTGCAGTTTTCCCACAGCCTCAGCAATTCAATGTAAAACCAAATGATTCTGTGGCTTCCATATCATTTCATAAACACGGGGCCACTCTGGAGCGGACGAGTGAGTAGGTGCGGACCCTGCACACTGGGGGCCTCTACCTTCTGTTCACTCTTTCATTACACTTTCCCTTCGCACTTGAAATAAAGGAGAAACAAGGCCTCTAGGGGCAAAAACACCCATGTACGGGTCTCTATTGCCATACACAAGAGTCTTCCCGGGTAGGAACTCTGCCGGGGACCGGCTGCGCTGTGAACCAGCGTGGTTAGGGGGAAGCCCCAGAGTCAAGCTGGGCATTTATAAGCAAAATGCCAAAAAGTGACCTTTTTGGCAAAAATGATTCAAGTTACCCCAGTACAGGGTGTAATATAATGTTTTCTGCTCGGCGCTCCTTCGAGCCCCGGTTGTGTGCTGCCGCCTTGCTGCACTAGGTCACTAGCGGAGAGCTCTCCGGGCGGCAGCGGCAAGCAGCGTCTGGAAGGAGCCACTCACGGTTCCAGAACGGGGCCGTCTGCCAGTGGTTGTTGTCGTGTGTGAAGCAGGTGAGGCCGGGCAGGCTGCACTCTTCCCCCTTCCGCTGGCGCTTCTTCTCCTTCCTCTCCTTCTTCCTCCGACGGTTCTCCTTGAAGAGCTGCAGCTTGCTGTCCACTTCCTGGGCGGCCTCCCTATTCCAACAGAAGGGGCTTTTGGGGCATGCTCAGAAGGTACCTTCCTCCTGAGGAGCAGGACTGTTGTAAGGAGCCTTTCACAAGTACTTGGATACACAGTTAACAGCCACAGTACTAGACGTCACGCACTTTTTCCTCATTGGCAGTAAGCACTGCCGGAGCTCAGTGTCCCCAGGAACTGGGGTCCTGACAGCCACACTCTCTGGACAAGTGGCTTAGTTTTCTGGTAGCTTAGTAGCTGTCAGTGGTAGAGTCAGTGGTTAGTGGACAGATAGCTTGGGTGAGAAGGTTTTTAAAATTCTTTAGCACATTTTACAAAATAAGTTTGGAAAACAGATTTTTTTTTAAAAAAGTTGATTTTTCTATGATCTTTATTTTTCCATACAAGGTTTAAACTTTGCCGAGGTTCAAACGTTAAACCTCCTTCGCACGCAAACTTGTGCTATTCGTTTAAAGGTCTGCGTGTTTCTTTTTACTTTAGAACTGAACATCAGTACTGGCTGTTCTGCAGAACGCTCCAACCTTATTAAGAGCCTCATTCTAACTGCACCCCACAGAAAGCAGTGCGTGGAGGCGAACCCAGGCCACGTCCCCTGCTCCAGGCAGACAGCACAGGCAGAGGAGGCCGGGACTGCGCAAGGCGCCTCCTAGAAGGACTCCGCATGCTCCTCACAGAGCTTGCTAAGACACAGCTCTGTGTCCTGAGCGCTCCTGGATGGACCTCCCACTTCCGAGCTGCACTCCGGGAACACAGGGACCCCTCTGACCCTTCAAATGACAACGGCCAGACCCTGACTCCCAGGAAACGGGGAACAATGAATTACTTACTTAAACGGGTGAAGATGGCTCTTCAACTTCTCTTGCCTTTTTACACCTTTTTCTTTATTGTAGTAGCTGCAGGCCAGAAGATTACAAAGTGAGTCTTCATCACCTTGCATTTGATCAAACAGTTCAATGCACAGAAAGAGAGCAAGGTAGGAGGTAGGCAGTTACTCCGCTGTCACTGTTTGGGGTAACGGGGCTTTTCTTTGACCTCTGGCTTAAGGGTGGGGCACATTTAACTTGACTTAGTTGAGGGCGTCCCACGATGTGATAACATAACGGCTCATGCAGAGCTCTGTGCGGGAGCTGAGGGGGCGGCAGGGTGGGTAGAGCTCACCTCTGTTTACCGCAGCTGCATTCCTCGGGTTTTCTTCTCTTTAGGTGTCCCCTCACTTCCCTTAAATTCTTAATTTTATCTTGCAGTGCTTCAATCTGAAAAACACGTATTTGAATGGTTACATTTTAAGATCAGGGTTTTCCCTACAAAGAACCTTACTTTTCACCTTATTTTCTATGTTGCTTTTTTTTGGTCTTTTTGAGGCAGAGTTTCACTATGTAGTTCAGGCTGGCCTTGAACTAACTTTGTAGCCCAGGTTGGCCTCGAACTCACTTTGTAGCCCAGGTTGGCTTCAGACTTGCAGTGATCCTCCTGCTTCAGCCTCCCGAGGGCTGGAATTACAGGAGTGCAACACCATACCTGGCTTGTTCATTATCTAGAACTATTCAAGACAATTTGGAAACAAATTGGGCCTCAAATACATCTATCTAGACATTTCAATGGGTGTGTAGCAGAGAGACATTAATAGGTGTCACTTTTAGAACTAAATCATTTTTTGAAGAGATTGCAAAAGATCTTTGAGCTCATCCCTTTTCCCTTCCCACACGTGAAAGGTTTTCAGCAGTACTGTCACTGCATTTCTGGAAAAGGACAAGTTCCTTGTTTCCTATTTTCACACAGTCATGGAAAGTTGATGTGTGCACATAGCATTCTCATCACAGCAGGCCAGTCTGCATTCAGGATGCACCTTACAATCGCAGAGCCACTCTGACCTCTTCTGTTTTGTGTTTGTGGAGCGAGGGCTAAAAGTGGGGTCTCATACACATTAGGCCAGCACTTTACCCCTGAGCTGTACCCCAGCCCCATGCTGACCTCTTTATCAATGTAAGCCTTGTGGTCCTTCCAGGCTCTGGCTGATTGATATAGTTCCCTTTCACAGTGGATTGTATCATTTGGAAGAATAAAGCATCTGCAAAACAAATCAGAGAGACAGAGAGAAAGAGAGAGAGAGAGAGACAGAGACAGAGAGACAGAGAGAGAGATTTATATTCCCGTATTAGAAAATGCTAGAATAGCAAAGATAATTCCCTTCCTGAAAACTCTTGCTGTAAATACCAGCAGTGAGTTTGGTGCTAATCCAGACAGTGGTCCATGAGAGTGTGTCCTGGCTCCCAGCTGGACAAAGGATGGTGCCCGGGACTAAGACCATCAGCACGATCACCCTGCGAGGCAGCTTCCAATATTTAAGCCCCCAAGGCACAGGTGCCAACTTTAAGCTCAAGTTTTGGAAGCCTGAGTGAACATACATAGAAGAAAAAAGAAGTTTTCATAGTGATAATGCAAATGGTTTCTTTGAAGAAATGCAGGGTGAGAAGTGAGAAATTATCCTGCTCCCCTCATTCTGTTAAAAAGAGATTATCTTAAATTACCTTACTCTAGTAAGTTTAAAAATTTTTTTGTGATGCCGGGGACCAAACCCAGGGCCTGTGCACACTAGGCAAGTGCTCTGCCTCTCAGCTCCTCCCTCTGTTAAATTCTGGAGCAGAAACAGCGCCGAGGACAGAGGGCAGGTGGGACCTGGGTCAGTCCTCGGTGTCAGCGGAACGGATCCTGTCTAGATCTCTGAGCGCGTGATCAGTGCCCAGAGACCACTCCCAGGGAGGAAGATCCGTGCAGAGCTCACCGTACTCCAGAATGATGAAAGTAGGGATCAGACAAAGTAATAACTAATAAACCACACTAACAAAGTACTTCTTCATCAAGAGAGCAAGTTGATTTGGGGAGGAACCAAGGACCCAAGCGAGCTCACTAGAGCTTCGGGGAGCGTCTCACCTGCCTGTCTGTGAGCCCTTCAGAGCCCTTTCTGCTCTCCAGCCCCGGGGACAGGTTAGGTGTCCGCATCTTACACCCATTCCCAACTCCATGCCTGTTTTTCAGAAGCTTTGGGGCCCGGTGTCCTAACGTGGGCTGTGTTTCACTTCTGAGGCTGTGACCGCAACGCCCTAAGCCACCATGACTTGACAGTGCAGAGGGCTCCAGAGGTCTGTAACCATTTCTATGGGAGCTCCACGCCTGAGAAGTCAAGATGTGACAGAGTTACTCCGGCTGGACCCCAGGTGATTATTCGCCGTAATGTGAAGCTGAGCTCAGAGCACACAGCTTGGGCTCCTCGCTGCATCCTTGGCCCTCAGGCACCATATCACCGAGTCAAACCATCTTCTCGAAGTGCAGAACGGTGAACCTACGGGGTGAAGGGGGACTTGGACGTCAAAGCCAGTGAATGACCCGAGCCTTCTTACTTGTGCGTCACGCGGACGGTGGTGGGCGGGCCCACAGCGTTGCTATCTGCCAGCATCTCGTCGCCGTGGCCGCCACCGGCAGCCTGCGGACTCCCCAAACCCTGGCGGCCTTCGCCGTGACGCTTAGCAATGCTCCTCGGTTGCAACACTTGCAGTTCTTCTTCCTCCAGGTTTATGTCGTATATTTCGCCTTCGAACTCGACAGACAAGGAACGGGTCTGCCGGGTGTGGACGAACCTGGGCTTATACTCTGGAAGTAAGGGAAGATGAGTTAATTTGGATGACCTGGGGTGGTCAGGAGGGAACAAGAGGGTCTCCTGCCACAGTGAGGATCTCGAACAGGGACAAGCCGTGCAGGCTGCACCGCCGTGGGGCCGCCACCCACTCGGGATGACACCCCGAATTCGTGGCAGGAGAGCAGGCACTTGCCCTAAGTGTGCCACTGCCCCAAGCGTGCCGGTGACTCACTCCTCTGGGTCTCAGGTCCTTCACCTTCCAGCTGGGGGGCAGGTGGGATGGTCTCTAAAATCCCTTGCATGAGAGCGGGCTGTGAATTTCTACATTTTCTTCTCAACATGAACTCCTAGGGCAGTTTATTGGGCTAAAGCTTTGTTCCTAGTCGCAGTATTAGTAACAACCCTTTATTGGGCTTCAGCTGTGCCGTATGCCCTTTCTATTCGTTTCTACTCTGCTGTCTCACAGGACAAGTATTACAACAAAGCTTTGCATAAAAATCTGACTCTCAGACCAGGTTCGTGAACTTGGTATTACTGTCCTTCTTCTATGAGGGAGAAAGGTAAATTTTGTTCAGTCAGGGAAGGTAGGACTAGGAACTTTCAGACTGCAGTCTTGCCAGGCTTCGGGCTGCTTTTCCACAAACTGAAACTCTAGGCACCTTCCGTGCACACAGGGGAAGATCACTTTAAGACCAGCGGAATGCTGGGGATGCTCACGCCAGCCCAGTGACGTTATACCTGGCAGAGAGGAGGAAGGCTGGACACAGGCCAGCGTGTTTTCTGCCGACCGAGTGTAGTGTCCAGTGCTCACTCGTGCTCGATAAGAATGTTAATGTGCACCCATTGGTCCTGCTTGCGGATGGTACTTCGGCCCAGGGCAGGCATATTCATCGGGCGGTACGGCTCTGGCACGCTGCTGCATTAGGGAACGAGGGGCACGTACGCCAGGGAATCAGAATGGTCCGTCTTGGAGACAGCATGCTCCAGCCGCAGGGCCCTGCAGCATTAAGATGCAGGAGCAGCCTCCGTGAGCGTGTGACCAGAGTTCTGGGGAGCTCCCTCAGGGTGGAGGAAGCCCCACGCTTGCTCCCAGATACACGGTTGAAGCTAGTCGACACTAAAGAACACACCTGCATTGAAATACTTCAGTACTGCATGAGACACACTGGAAAAGTTTTGTTTTTTAAGGAAGTTGTGTAGCTGGACCCGGTGGCACATGACTATAACCCTAGCCTTCTGGGGAGCTGGAGCAGAACGATCATGAGCTTGAGCCCAGACTGGACAACTTAGTGGCTCAGTAAGACCCTGTCTCAAAATAAAAACATTTTAAAAGGCTTGGGGAAATAGCTCAGTGTGGAGACTCTGGGTTCAATCCTCACTACTGAAAGAAAAGAGAGAAAACCACAAAACAAAATAAAATAGGAAACAACAACAAAACACACAGTTGAAGAAGTTGATTCAATGTTTGTCTATGCTCAACATTGAAAAATGCACACACTTTATCGTCAGTACTTGGGAAGCGATGTCTAACCTTCCAGAAGAGAAGAGGCCACCCCTGTTTTTAAGCTGAAATGTGATAATCTGCTTTTGTTCAGAGAGTGTGACAGGACTCTGTTCCTTCTTCATTTTAAATATGACATTCTTATAGAAGTGACTTGAGTCTAGTATTTTCTGCCAAGAAGAAAGAAAACCTCATAAGGTTTTCTTTCAACAGCTCCTAAGGGCCGGGGATATAGCTCAGCGGCATAAGTGCTTGCCTGGCAAATGCAAAGTCCCGAGTTTGAGTCCTGGTATCAAAAAACAAAACAAAACAAAAAAAAGCCAGCTCTTAGTCTTGTGGGTTATGGATTTTTTATGAATTTGTTGAAAGTTACTGACTTTGGGAAAAATGTGTATGTACAAAGAATATACTCACAATTCTGGATGAACTATCCTACAGCCTTCTCGTCCAAAACAAGAAAACATTCATTCTAATGACTTCCACTATTTTTATAGATGATATAATTTCCAAATCTTGGACGCAAAATTGAGTTTAATGCATGTTGCCTATTTCTCGTGTTTCAAAATCATCACAGAATTGAGTTGCTTGCCATATTACACCACTAGATGGCACCAGTCTCTCACTCTTCAGTGGAAGCTGTCCGCCTGGGAGCTTTCCTTATCTATAATCATAGGCTTCTTGCAGCCGCCTGGTAATTTTTATGAGCAAAATGCTAGGTGGTGTATTTCACACTGAATTTGACTAGCCTGACCCTGTCTGTCAACAAGATCCAACCATCCGATAAAATTTTAAAACTATTTTGTGTCCCAATACAGAGATCAAACTATGTCGCTTTAAAAAAAGTGTTAATGCTTTTTGTCTTAAGATAAATACACACATACTGATACCCTGGATTTTTTTTTTTTTTTTCTTTTCTTCTTCTGGTACCGGTAATCAAACTCATGGTGTCGTGCTTGCCAGGCAGGTGTTGTGCCACTGAGCTAAATCCCCAGCCCCTACCTTGGATTTTTTTTAAAGCAACCTAAAGCAGACAAATCAGAACATTAGCATGAAAGTAAAATAAACCTGACCCAAACTATACATTTATCCTTTGGATAACTGAACAATTACTTTATAGCTCTTTGCTGTGTGCATATGTCTTGCATCTGGTGTTTTACTAAATATATGTTCATTCTGTGCTTAAGTAAAAATACTGTAAAGCAAAATCTCACATTAACTTTAGCTTTCTTATTTCAAACGGAAGTTTTCTTCTAGCCAGAAAACTGCACACTGATAACATCTAAACTGGACAAGGAGGCCTTCCGCCTCGCTCAGGTCTCAGCTGCCCCCGAGATGGTCCCAGAAGGAGGGCAGGCTTACTTGGGGCGCCCTGGTTCCTCAGGAACTGCCTTTGACTCTTCCTCTGGCTCCGGCTGGTGCGGTAGCCAGGCCCCCGACAAGCGCACTCCTTGTCCTTGTCGTGGAACCCTCGAGGGTAGAGGCTGCGTGTGTTCTGTCGGGCCGTGAGCAGCTCGCTGGGTCCTTTGCACTTGTGGATGCGGAGCTTGCCGGCCGTGTCCTCAATGCATTGCCACTTCTGCAAAAGCCAGCGAGAAAGCAGTTAACGGGCTCCGAGGCAGATGGTATTTATTAAGGGCTGCAGCCCGAAGGCTTTTTTTTTTTTTGAGAAGCACTGGCAATGCCATTAAGGAGAATAAATGAAGAAGGACAAGCTTTTAAGTGACCATGCAATAACTCCACTCTCAGTTCTATTTCTTCAGTGTAGGCAAATACAAGTGACAAGGAAATCATTGGCGATCAGAACTCCCCCAGTGACACCAGAGCCAGAAACTGATATATGAATCCTCGGCGTCCAGACTAAACAGTCTTGAATGAAACGTGGAAAAGCCCTTCGTTCACCAAGACACGGGCACAGCTGTCAGGGCTGCTCTCACCAGACCCCGCTTGCTCTGGCGCAACAAACTTGTGTGCTTTGTTCTCTGCTTCTGAATTTCTAACGGGAGCCAGGCCAAGTGGCACACACGGAAGACAGAGAGTTTAACCGCCAACGCTGGCTACCCCAGACGTTAGCACACTGGGCGGGGTGCCTTTGGTCTTATCTTTCCGGATGAGCACACCTGGCCAGGAGAGGTGGGGTCCGCTTCCCCGCAGACCCCTGGGGGGGGTGCCCACTGGGATGCCTGCTGTGGGCCCTGCTGGTTCACATCAGGACAAACGTGAGGATCAATGTGACGCCACGCCAAGGCCACCTGTCCTGATGCTCCCTCAGTGCCAACCCTGCTCAGACATCATCCCCGCTCAAAGCCGATGCCAGTCAATGCAGGGCATTTCATGGCATCCTCTGCACGTTAAAGACCTAGTGGCTCCTTCTCTTTTTCTCCTTTACACTTTTCTCCCTGATGCACAGCTTGCGAGGCAGGGAGAACAGCCGCCCTCACTCGAAGGTGACCGCTGTAAGTGAACTTCAAATTGACCACGGCAAGTGAAGCGTGGACAAGCCATAGGGTTATCAAACTTCCGTCCCTTTCGCCTCCCATACACGATCTCACCTGCGTACTACTTGGCATGGATACTTTTCTGTCCGTGCGCGCATGTCTGACTGTGACCGTTAGGCGCTGGTCTCATTATTTAGGTGAATAACTGTTTCTAAAAAGATATTCTTTCACGAATCATTTAAAATGATCTCCCATCCCTATGTGGTGCTAATACCACACTTTGACAGTTTGATTGCAAAGTGTCCTAATGCGAGGTCAAGTCTGACCAAGGATCCTGGACGGCTTTGTCAGCAGGTGAATAAAACTCGCGTGCAAAATGGCACACAGAAATCGCCCGTGACCTAGACACGGAGCCACTGCTCGCTTTGTGGTGAGAGAGTCGCATGTCTCGGTAAGTGCTGAACTGTAAGAGTTACTTCTACCGCGTAATTTCCAAATTCCAGATACGTAGGCCTCGGTTTGGGATTCTGCTTCAACTCTCTGCACTTGGAGGGTTACTGAATTTATTTCAGGCCATGGTAAGTCCCACCCTTCCTTTTTGGCTTGGCCAGAATGCTCAACATCTTGATCCAGGAAAGTAGGACCTCAAGAGACAAGATGACTCAATTTACTGCTTCCCAAGCCACGGAAAGACAACATGAGTCTAAAGACTAAGAGAGGATGTAACTAAAAATATGGAAAATCAACTTGCTTAGGTACCAGGGGCTTGGGTCATCTGAGGGACTAGCAACTTTGCTAGACTTCCGGTCTCAGCAGCTCCCCAGTGGCTATAATGTGCAGCTGAGATTAAGAGCCAACGCTTTCATTCGTCACTGGTTCCCGGGCCTCTGTGACTGGAGCCCAGGATGCAGGGAGGAGGAATACATTTAGGTCTAAGTAGCTCTGATGCAGAAGTCTTTGAGAAAAATGTCATTTTTTCTGGGTATGACCTGTGCAAAGAAAAGCTCATCTAGAAATCTAATGCAGCCAGTCAGACAATGATTCGCACTGAACAAAGGACTATCAAGAGCACAGTGCACCTAGACTGCAGGATATGTGCTCCAGGGAAAAGCAACCGATCTTTACCGCTCACAGTTACCTGACGAGGGACTCGAGACTTGGCTGCAAGCTGCATGTGGCCAGTCTCAAAGTTCTGCTACTTAATGTGAGGACCACCGATTTGTGGGCCTGGGTGTGAGGTATGCACAGATACATCTGCTTAGCTAGGGAAGGTGCCACGAAATTCTCAGAGATCTCAGAAACTGGAAGATAACTCTGCTAAGAAATAATGATATACTATATAGAGTTCTTGCTGGTGAAAGGGCTGCTCAAATAAATAACCTTTTGTAGCTCTAAAATCTTTGGAATTACTGGTCCAGGTATGCCTCTATCTACCTTTATTTTCTCTTTGAGACAGGGTGTCACTATGTTGACCAAGCTGGTTTTGAACTCCTGGGCTCAATTAATCCACCTGCCTCAGCCTCCTGAGAGGTTGGGGCTTCAGGTATGTGCTACCATGCCTGGCTAGATATTAATTTTTAAATCGTATGAGAGTAACCAAAACTTCCTGTATTTTTATAATCACAATGTATGACAAAATATTTTGTCACTTTCTTTTCTTTCTCTTTCTTTCTTTCTTTCTTTCTTGCTTTCTTTCTTTCTTTCTTTCTTTCTTTCTCTCTCTTTCTTTGTTCTCTCCCTCTCTCCCTCTCTCTCTCCCTCCCTCTCTCTCTGTCTCTCTCTCTTTCTTGAGCATAGCAGAGCTGAGAGTACAAGTAGATTCCTATAGAACACAAAAGTGTAGGCAGAATTTTTAGTGACTTGGCCTGCTTGGAATCCAACCTGTAATTTCCCGTTAGCTACATTCCTTGTTGATTTCCTGTAGGATAGAGATGAAGGGAAGGAGCGCTTCCTTCCTGAGGAGTGTAAGTCTAACCACAATGAAATGTCTGGCACTGTCTCTGGGAAGATGATGCATCACACAAAATCAAATAGGCACACATATACACATGGATCTACACACACACATACACATGGATCTACACACACATATACACATGGATCTATACACACATATATGCGGTATACACGGCAAATACCGTCACATCTGCATACATACTCGGAGAAAGCATGGGCCACTGAGAAAAATGCAATGACTTTCTGTGACATGGAGTCTTGGAAAAAGTCACAGACCTTATTAGATAATGTAATTAGCTAGCGGCTGAGGAACCCTCCTAAGTGGCTGGCATAGGATGAATTTCAATGAAATATAATTACCGCACATTTGCGCAGTCATTTCAGTGCTCCGTATCGTGGCCATTTTTACGATTATGCAATAAAACCTTGAAATAGCTGCTGCTAAATTGATGATTGTACTTGAAGAGTTTATAGACAGGGGCAGAGGAAGGAGGATTTTTAAAAGAATTGCTCCAAAGCCGCGAGCCATTTGAATGGTCAGTGTAAGGGGAAGAGGAGATGGTTTTGCCTCACAGAGAGCGGCGGGAAGGGCTGGAAGCCCAGCTCAGCTGACACCCACCGAGCAAAGGCGGAGACACCCCTGGACGCAAGCTCTTCCACAGCGCCCTCTGCAGACCCAAACTGCGCCCTACCTCACTTTTTTCTACTCCCTGGAAGTTTATTAGTAAAGCAGTTCACTGGCCGATCTGGTTGTCTCCGTCTTTCCTGACCATTTACTCCTCCTGCTAATTCCTTTTCTGCTTTCTGGGACTTTCTCATTTCTGTTCTCTTTTGCTTTTCTAATTTATCACTTTGCACCAATAATTCCGCATGGCGCATTCCACAAGTGTTTCCCCACACCCGCTGTTGGCAAGATGGGAGGCACGGTTATGCAAAGAATTTCTCAGTTGTTACTTCATCTGCAGCCACTGCAGCTCCCCTGGAACCTGGAATTAAGGGCACAGACGATGGCTCATGTTCCTGAGCTCTTCCCGAAGTTAGCTCAACAGGGCATCACTGCGTGGGTAATTATGCGGCAGCACTTTTGATCGATTGTGTCTGCCTGTCTGTGAGCAGCCCCTGGTCAAGGAGAGAAGGCCGGTGACTTTGCTACAAGGGTACGTGTGTGCAGCTGCTCCACGGATCAAACCGAAAGAGAACTGTGCCATACGCCTTTCAAACCATTCCGTTCATTACCTCATCTTCCCCACCACTGTCATCGGCATCTAGCGAACCCTTGCTTAACGCCAGATATTGGTCCAGAGCCCGTTATACGAATTTATTCATTCAATCCTTACAGGTACCTAAAGTGCTGTCATAATTCATTCTGGAGACAGTGAAGGTTGTCTGTATTCTGGCTTGGATTTGGGAAAGGTATTTTACCCCCATATCGGAGGATGGAAATCCCAGACTTTTAAGCTAGAGAAGCTTGGATTCAAACAGTGTCCGCTTTCTCACATTGCCCAGCGCAAGGGAGCTATGTGACCTCAGCCCGGGCGGGGTCCCGAGCAGCAGACACAGCGCGGGAAGAACTCAGCCAGCGGCAGGCATTCGGCACAGGCAGCTGTTATTATTGTTATTATTTTTCCTCACACACACTGGATTTATTACCTAAATAACCAGAGCTAATGTAAACTTGATGAGAGATGGATATTTTTAATGGAGATAAAGATTGGGTTGAGCATCTAAAAACCGCAAGTTTAGTTTTTTTTTTTTTTTGCAGCTAACTGTGGTCTTAAGCAAACTGCAGAATTTCTTTGTTCTTCCAGATTCCACATCTGGTAAGATAATACTTACTCCTCCTGGCCTCACGGATCTGTCATGAGAATAAATTGTTAGTGGCTCTGGAGTTCTGAGAAGATACAGTGAATGAATCCAGACCAACACTCTCATAACTGACCTTAAAAATGTTTATCTAATCCCTGGGTAGCTTAGTATTTCCTGGTTGTAAAATGTACATAATAGGGTAATTATTTAATGGAGGAGGCAGAGGCTTTTTTTGTGGTGGTGATTTCTGAGACAGGGATCTAACTATATTGCCCAAATTGGTCTCCAACTCCTGGGCTCAAGGGATCCTCCTGCCTCAGCTTCCCCAGTGCTGATACTACAGGAACGGACCACCTGCACCCAGCAAGACTGTGGCTTT